TTAATTTATATATGATAATTATAAAATGTTGACGAGTGTATTAGAATACAATTATAGTTCAAGTAAAATAATTTCTAACTATTTTATTTTGTATTAATCGGCCAGCTGCTAAATCCGGATTAACTCTACGTGCATTTCTTATTTCTGGAATATTATCATTTTCTGGAATATTGTCATTATACATTCCAAAGTCTAATGCATCGTCTCCCTCTTCCGGTAATGGGTCTGGAATATTATGTGCAATGCACATATTGTGGAGAATGACACAAGTGTTGATTATTTTAGATGCTATAATTGGAGAATAATGTAACACTCGATGCTTTAAGCAACAACGGAATCTCATTTTTAAAAGGCCGTTACACCTTTCAATTAACGAACGGCAAGACATTTGTCGTTCATTATATCGACCCTCTGGGGTCATTGGTTGTGCGTTAGTAATAGGCGTTAACAGCCATGGTCGTAAAGGGTATCCTGAATCACCTGCAAATTGACACAATTATTATGAGTTTAAAGTGTACATACATCCCATACAGCACAAGAACGTCCAGCAACATTGCTGGACGTTCTTGTGCTGTATGGGATATAAAAACGCATATGAATAAAATAAAATGTTATATAGATATATTATACATATACCGAGCAAACAGAATGTATCTCTTCCATATCTTGCATATATTTGTTCGGCTAGTTGTCTAGCATTTGAATTATTCCAAATATATACATCATGTGAGCTTCCTGGAAATCGTGCATTTACATTTATGATTCTTAATCGGTAATCACATATCTAAAAAGAAAAATGCAGTTATTATATATTATACATATATATTGAATAACTACACATATTCTAGACACACACACACACACACACACACATATATATATATATATATTACTACTGTAAAAAGTATACGTACTAACTGAACATTTATTGAGTGGTATCCTTTACGATTAATATATCCATGCTCTGGATGTACCTCATCATTAATTTTAGGAGGGAATATTGCAATATGTGTACAATCAATACACCCATAAACACCTGGAAATCTGTGGTGTCGGTAAAATCTATACGCATAATACAAAAACATTTATATGTTATTTGTATGTTTATATATATGTACATATTTTTATATATTTTATTCATATAAGAACATGAATTACCCATTACGCAGATAATAAAGTTCTGTTTTAGTACGAGGAAATCGTATCCACTTATTTATAACGTTAGGTTGATTAGCAGCATTAATTACTTCATGAATACTTCTTGATATTGAAGATTGGCTAACAGCAATATCCACATTATTACCTATATCCATTTGGTAACTACCGCTTGCAAAAAAACGTAATGCAGAGAATATCTATTAAGCAAACAATATAATTAGTAATTTATTAAAGTAATTATATACTGTGTAATGCAACATTATACATTTTTTATATATACCCTTCTTTGTATACTTAAGGAAGATTTCCTTGATTGTTGTTGCATAAAAGGTTGAACGTCATCAATGAATTCGTTAACTAAATTTTTTGATAACCTAAACATTTTCATAAACTTTTTATCACTTAGTTCAAAGGGATCACTTTCATGAAAAATTCTACGAGAATTTCGTTTCGCAGCAACTTCTGCAACCACTAATTCAGCCTCTAATACGATAGCTTGATTTATTAAATCCATTTCTTTGACAAATGTATTTTTTATCGGATATATGCGAATGCTTATTACAGCTGCGAGTGCCTAGTACCCACTCGTTGCATTGTGAGCGAAAATTTGCGAATACGCAACCGTGCGCATACGTATTTTGGTTCAAGAATACATTTTTTAATTCGAGCGCTCGCAAATCAGTACTTGCGCATACGCAACATTTCGAGAATAGCTCCCCAGATTTCAGCGTCTAAAGGTGCCTTTTCATACGCAGCATGCAGCAGCAGCAAATTAGTCACGTGATCCAAATTCACTACAGCATATTTGCTGCTCACGGAAAAGGAATAGCTGCAGCAGCACTGGCCGGCTAGATCGCGTGTCTGCTGCTTTGCTGTTCGTTCAATTGAACTTCACAGCGATGAAGCAAAATATGGTGAAATTTATTTTGCAGCATCTAGTAACAATTCTTCAACCAATAGCAGCGAGTTGCTGCGGCAGTATGCTGCGCATGAAATGGTACCTTAACGCTAAAAATGGCTGGCTAGTGGCACGTGGTGGCACGTCGATAAACGCCGTAGAGGTTAAGGTATACACTATTAACATAGAAAATTTATACGTAATCATATTCCGTACAGATGTTATTATTTTTGGTAATATTTATTATATAATTCCATGGTTATCTATGGGTATTATATAAACCATGGTTACGTTCTAATATGCGCCAATTGCGGAATTACATAATAAATATTACCAAAAATAATAATATCTGTACGGAATATGATTATGTATAAATTTTCTATGTTAATAGTGTATACCTTAACCTCTACGGCGTTTATCGACGTACCACCACGTGCCACTAGCCAGCCATTTTTAGCGTAA